GCAGCATCGTCATCATCATCACCACCATCATCATCAGCATCATCAGCATCATCGTCATCATCATCATCACCATCATCCGCATCATCATCATCAGCAGCATCAGCAGCAACATCATCATCAACATCATCAACATCATCAACATCATCATCATCATCATCAGCATCATCATCATCATGATCATCATGACCATCCTCCTCGCGAGCATCATCATGATCAAACTGCTAAGCGCGATCGGCGACGGCGGTGCGCGCAAGCGCGGCTGGATGCAACACCCGAGCTTCCGTGATGCGCGATGGAAGGGATCGGGGCCGCGGACTCCAGGAAGAATCCGCCCCGGCGGGCACGCCGACAAGGCCTGTGGCTGGGTCGCTTCCCTCATGGCACGCGCGCCTGGCGAACGAGGCTCCCCCCTGGCGAACGAGGCCGCGCCTCCCACCTCGCACCTCCTCACGTCGCACCGCAGGCCCCCTTTTCGCCCTCACCCACGCCTGTTTCATTCGTCTGCCCGCCCTCGGCCATCACAACTCCCTGCTCCACATTCTCCGCCTCCCTCCTCCCTCGCCGCCCTCCTCCTCCTCCTCCTCCGTGTCCTCCTCCTCCTTCCTCTCCTCCTCTCCACCTCCTCCATCTCCTCTTCCTCCTTTTCCTCCTCCTCCTCATCATCATTACCATAAGTACCATCACCATCATCATCAGCATCAGCATTATCACCATCATCACCATCAGCAACACCATTATCAGCATCATCATTGTCGTCATCAGCATCATCAACAGCAGCATCAACGTCAGTAACATCATCAGTGTCAGCATCGTCATCAACATCACCATCACCACCACGACCACCATCATCATCAGCTCAGCATCATCATCACCACCATCACCACCACCACCATCAACATCATCATCATCGTCATCATCAGCATCATCGTCGTCATGGTCATCAGCATCACCATCATCATCACCATCATCACCGTCATCACGTGCATCGTCAACATCGTCGTCAGCATCATCATCATCATCATAATCATCATCACCATCAGCATCATCCCCATCATCATCATCAGCAGCAGCAGCACCGCAACCATCATCATCATCATCATCACCATCAGCAGCATAACCATCATCGTCGTCATCATTACCACAACCACAAGCATTATCAACATCACCAGCATAATTCTCATCAGCAGCATCAGCATTATCACCATCACCATCATCAGCATCACCGTCATCATTGTCATTACCAGAATCATAATCAGGATCCGCATCAGCAGCGAAATCATCACCATGACCAGCAACTCACCACCAACATCATCACCACCATCAGCATCATCCTCATCATCATCATGATCATCATCATCATCATCATCTCCATCATCATCACCGTCATCAGCATCAACACCGTGGTAATAATCATCATCAGCATCATCGCCACAATCAGCATCAGCATCAGCATTACCAACATAACCACCATCACGATCATCACCATCAGTGTCAACATAATCGTCACCACTACTTGTGCCATCAACATGATGCTCATCATCATCATCATCATCATCATCATCAGCATCATCACCATCATCAGCACCATCAACACCATCATCATCAACCTCATCATCCTCCGACTTCGTCGCCTAACTCCTACCTCCTGCCTCCTCTAATTCACACATTCCTCGTGCCCTCCTGCTTCTTGTGTGCCTCGTTCTGCTCCTCCCCCTCCTCCATCATTGTCAACCCTCATCCCCTTTGCTCGTCCTCCTCCTCCTCCTCACGCTCTCACGCTACCGCTACCAGCATTGGGGTCGAAGGTCGACGCAGCCCTCCTCCTCCTCCTCCGTCTTCTCCTCCTCCTCCTCCTCCTCCTCGCTTCATGCCCGAACAGCTTGGAACGTGCGCGTGCGGGGAGACATCTTCATGGTGAAGCGACATGGAAAAGGACAGCTCGTACATGGACCCTCCTTAAGAGGACGTCGTTGCCGCATGAGCGCCCCCTGCCCCGTCAAGGAAAGAGAAGCAACAGGGACAAAAAGTAATGAGTCAGAACGGCCTCAGACGCTTTCAAGGTCAGCGGGCCTTCCAGGCGGCCAGCCAGCGAGCCATCGTGGTGCGACCTCTGCCCCTTTCTGGCCCGTTCGCGGGTGCTCTTGGCATCCTTCCGACTAAGTCCGGCAACGACATCATTCGGCAATCGATTGAGAGTAGCCATGATTACAAAGCGGCAATTCCCTGACGCATGTTCCGAATGTGGGTCGCCACCCGTACGCGGGTGTGGGAAGATCGCGTTCACTCTAGACTATGTGTTGTATCGGTGGGATCGCGAGTGCTGCGCCGCACGCCATGCACTGAGAAAGTATGGGTGGCTAGTTTGCGCCTGGAACTGCATGTGTACGCACACAGATGGCACGACACTGCGTCATTCACCTCATCCATCCGCTGGCTTGTAACCCAAGCCCTCACCATATTGCGCCCACGCTCCTGCCGGACATCCCTCAATGAAGCCCTGAAGCGATTCGGGCTGGCGCGGATCAGTGGGAACCATTCCCTTATCGGCTTGGCTTCGCACGCTGAGAACGCGCCAGAACGCAAAGCCAGCATATCAAAATCTGCAGAAACTGCGTGCATCCACG